TCTGAATAAGAAACTAAGTCGATAGAGACACGTTCAAAAGGTTCAGTGGATGATGAAGTTATTACCATTGGAGCTTTATAAGTTTTTCTTTGTATCTTACTCCGTTGGCAAATTTGACATTTGTCAATGTAATTTTTAATAGTGTCGGTCATACCTTTCCAAAAATACTCTGATCTTATTTTTCGTGTGGTTTCAACTATACCACGGTGACCAGACAAAGGGTCATCATGAAAAGATTTTAAAATAGAAGGAATATCTTCAGGATTAGGAGTCTTCACTTTGTTTTCACAGATAGTAATCTTACAATTATAAATGTCTGCTAAATAAGATGTAATATGTAGTTGTTCATTGCCTTTTAATTTACAAGTTGCGTCATCTTTTAAGTCAGGTACGTAAAGTGATTTCAAATCGTTATTCTGTAAACAGCTAAGAAGTGACTTAAAATAACTTTCAGAATCCCAAGGATCGAAATATAAGGGTCGAGAATAGTTAAAGTAAATGTTTTGTTTTTTGTTGGAAACCAATAAGTCAGTTTCGTAGAGTGCTTTAGACTTTTTTAGAAATGGTTCCACTTGAGAACACATTGAAATAGCTTCGTTGTAAAGATTGTTCTTATCGGAAATGTCACAAGAAATAGCAATAAATATGTCTTTATGTCGTTCGTCTAACAGCTTATCTGGTGAAATATGTAGATTTGGAGTGTCGAAACTATAATCTGAAATTTCTGTAAAGTGTTGATAGTTTAATTGTAAATAGTCGTCGTGAGAATCGATTTCGTTCTTATCAGTATTTTTGTCACAAGTTAAGTCAATAGTATTTGTGTTAAGAATTGAGGGCCTAGAGAGTGCGTCGGCATTAGTATTATTTTTACCAGCTTTATAAATTACTTCGTATTCATATTCTTCGAGTTTGAGACGCCAGCGAACGAGACGACTACCAGGGTCTTTTATAGAGAAAAGCCATGTTAATGGTTTATGATCGGTAACGATCTTGAACTTTCTACCAAATAAATAGGGACGAAAATGCTTAACAGCCCAAACTATGGCTAATAATTCACGTTCAATGGTGGAATAATTTGATTCTGCTTTGTTGAGAGTACGTGATGCATACGCAATAGGTAGATCTTTACCTATTTGCCCTTGCGATAAAACAGCGCCAATCGCATGAAGAGAAGCGTCTGTTGTTAAAATAAATTCTTTAGTAAAATCAGGATATTGTAAAATAGGAGGATTGGTAAGGAGACGTTTGCATTCTTCAAAGGCTGATTGTTGAGTTTCACCCCAAACAAAAGGAACATCTTTCTTAAGGAGACTAGTTAAAGGTTTTGTTAGACTACTAAAATTAGAAATGAAACGGCGATAATAGCCGGTTAGGCCAAGGAAAGACTTGATGTCTTTGCATGATTTGGGAACTGGAAAATTATCGACTGCGTGAACTTTATCAGGATTAGGTTTTACACCTTCGCTAGAAATTATATGCCCTAGATAGGCTACTTCTTTCCTAAGGAATTCACACTTATCTGGTTGAACTTTTAAGCCATTTTTCCTAAGTCGATTGAAGACTTCGTATAGCTTTTGTTCGTGTTCTTGTAAACTAGAGGCGAAGACTACTATGTCATCTAAAAAACAAAGCAACGTTCACCTTGTAATCCATAGAGTACGCTATCCATAGCACGTTAAAAAGTTGCTGGAGCATTCTTTAATCCAAATGGCATTCTTAAAAATTCATAATGTCCATACGGAGTATTAAAGGCAGTTTTAGGAATATCGTTTGATTCGAGTTCGATTTGGTGGAATCCAGAGGCGAGATCTAAAGTAGTGAAGTAAACAGAATGTCCTAACTTGTCGAGTATATCTGTAATGTTAGGTAAAGGATAACTATCACCTATGGTTATATCATTCAGTTTACGATAATCAATAACGACGCGCCATTTTTGTTTGCCGGAGGCGTCTACTTTTTTAGGGACTACCCAGATAGGACTACTCCATGGTGAAGTACTCGGACGTATTATATTTTCATTTAACATTTTATCGACCTGGGTTTTTACTTCTTGTTGATGTATATGTGGAAACCTATATGTTTTCGTATTAATTGGAATATTTGATGTGGTAGGAATAGTATGCTTAGTATGGTTTGTAAATGTCAGTTTGTCACCTTCTGTATAAAATATGTCAGAATATTCAATTACGATTTTATTTAGGGAGTTTGATTCTTCTTTGTTTAAATGGTCGCCTCTAATGAGGGAACAAACTTTGCTCTGACGATCTGTTTGGGAAATACAATTAAAATTATTTATCTCATGTTGAGTTTGTTCATTAGTATGTTTGTCAAAGTCAAAAATTGTAACAGGGATGGAAGGAGTGCTAATAATCTTATCTTGTTTGTCTAAATTAATGCAAGTTATAAGAAAAGAGTTGTTTGTGACGGTCACTAATGAGCGTGGAATAATAATGCCATTATCTAATGTATGTTTTTCAACGATTGCTTCGCCAGAATTCATAGAATTTGTTGTACATCTAATTACTGTTTCCGATCGTTTGTTAATTACTTGTTTTTCGAGGGATACAGTATTGTTCTGTGAATTTAAATCTTGTAGTTTTTCATGTAAATAAAATAAGTCATAACTTTTGACGCCAATTGTTAAGATTTTCGATTGTACTTCAATTTTACAGTCATATTCAGTCATAAAGTCATTACCTAAAATACCGTCAGCTTTTATGTTAAGGTTTGCAACATGAAATTTATGTTTAGGTAAATTGTCAAGGGAAATATTTGCCGTTCCTAAGGTCAGCATCTGAGATTGAGAACTGGAAATACCTTGAATAGAAACTATATTTAATTCGTTAATGCAAGCTAAACCTATTTTATCTTTACGTATGACAGATATACCAGCACCGGTATCAATTAAAAGAGTCACAGGTTTATTATCTATGTAAAATGTAGCATGTAAGAGATTTTCTGGAGGTATATCATTTAAAGCAGAGATTGAAAAGATTTAATATTCTTGTTGTTTGATTTCGACTTACGTTTATTTTTTTTATAATGGTATTTTGAATTCGATTTAGTAGTAGTATGAGATACAGCGGGTTTACAAGATTCAGCGATATTTTGAGATACAGTGGGGTTAGAAGATACAGTGCGATTTTTTAGATTCAGAGGATTTTGGAGATTCATCGTGCTTATAAGAAATAGTAGAATCCGTATTATGACCAAAGGTTTGGGACTGGCTACCCTGTTTGTAGGTCTGTATAAAGCTAGCTTCAAAATCTGTCTGTGTGCAAGCTTCTTTGCATTGCCTCCGATAGGCTGGTTTATTATGCAAGGATGCAGACACAGTGCTTTGTAACACTCGACTTGATTTTGGAATTTGAGGAAGCATTGAATAGTCTAAAGAGCTGGGTTCATCGAGTAAGAGCTGGTAGCGATTTCCAACGGGTCGCTCATTTCGTTGGTCGCTTCTAAGTTTAAATGGCGGATTGGTGCAGGGAGAGCGCGTTGTTTATTTTGCTCGTTGTATGCTCTCTTGCGACATTCGTTTATTGAATGCCCAATATTTTTACAATAAGCACATGTCTTTGGAGAAAATCTAGGATTAGGAGGCCTGAATGGAATATTTGGGTTTCGAATAGATTGGTAATTATTTTGATATGCATTTCTCCTAATTGCTGGCCTAGGAGTTGCAACTGGTCTAAATAAAGATTGCCTAACTTTGTTCATAGCCCTAATTTGATCTTCTTGCATTGCAAAACGACCTACTTCTCTCAAGGTATCGAAACCTTTTGTTCTGAGCATTATACCCATGTCTGTAGAGAGACCGTTGAGGAATATGCTTAAGGCGGTTTCCTCGGTGGTTGCTACACGTCCGTCTAATGTTGAATCGCAAATTTCTGAGTGTAGTTTTTCTAAGATTTTGCAACGACAAAGATCTACTCTATGATAGAATTGGGTTAAGGACTCATCATGTCTCTGGAAAATCGATTGAAGTTCTAAATTCAAATGTTGAATTGTCTTGGTATTCGCGAATCTCTCAATAAGAAATCTCTTTAATTCATCCCACGTCTCGTAAGTTTTACACCGAACTTCTGAGGCCGCGATGCCTTTAATATTATTTAGAGCACAAGTTAACAAAGTCTCCCGTTCAAACGGAGATGACAGTTTAAACACAGTATCACAGGACCTAATGTAACCGTAAATTTCATCGTGATTGTTTGTGTCGAATATAGGAATTAGATTTATAAGAGTTTGAATATTAACTGGTGATGCCTTCATTATGCTTTCGGTCTTTAATGACATGATGATGATTAAAATGTAGAATGCGTGTGTAGTTAAATATGAATAATGTAATTAAATGAAATATAAGATATAGTAATACACGATAATATATATAAAACACACAAAATATGGAAATATAGGAAAAGAATGAGCCACAAGTAAAATGCCACTTACCACAGTAACACGAACCACAAGAGCATAGTATCGGCGAAAACTATTAAAAGCCTAAGGCTACCGTACTAGGCGATGCTAGTCCTTTGTACGTTTGCTTCGTCTTACTACACAAGTAGATCCTACCGACTGCGCCAAATTTGTTATGAGGCAGTGACTAAAACTTGTTTTTTAAAACTAACAAACTTTATTTAAAATTATGTTTACAATAAACTAACGTTGGAGTTGGAATATGGAATAGAAGTGCCCTTGAAAGGATCGGGATTTGGTACTTAAAGGTTTGGGTAGGAGTAGGGATACATTAGGGGAACAAACAATGTCATTAGGTTATTAACTATAACTTATCACTACATAAACAAATGGTTAAACTTATACAAGCCAAAGAAATAATAATTAGGTAAATAACAGTTGAAAGTTTAATAGTATAGTGGGGACCACATAACACTATTGAAGTGACGGTTAAAAGTTAAGCCTGCAGTAACTACTTATGTATTATTAAAACGCCAAGGTGAAGGCTTGATCAGTTTCTCATATAATATGTTACATGTTACAAACCATTAGTACACTATACGAATAATTGTAATGCATAATGTAACACAGCAATAGTTAACCTGTTTCAAAAAGTTCCCTCGTAGACTCAGTACCCTGAAAGTGGTGAACCATTCAGAACCTTCCAACTCTTTAACAGCCGGAATACTATTATTGTCCAAATATAAATCCATAAGTTTTCTATATTGAGGCTCCTGAACCAATGGTCTAATTGTATTTAACTGAAAATATGAGATATGATGATATTAAATTATTTATCGTACCTAGAAATTACAACGGACCGGGTACAAAAGAAATTCATCAGGCACCTGTATTGTTGAATGCACGTTGTGTTATAGTCCAATGGTTCTTTTTTACTCCTTAGGTATCCAACTTAATTCATGTGCTGTGAGCAACAACAAACTCAGAGTGTGCGCAGGATTTGCGCTTACCATGTAGGTATCTTATAAAGTTGTTACGTGACTTAAATTCGGTGGCGGTTATTGGAGAGATGTTCAAATGTATGTTAAATGAAACTCTTTGTTTAAAGCTGGGTATCATCTCAGGCTTTAATCGTTTAAAACATGAGGGGATAGCAAAAAACTAACTTTTTATGTGACACTTCTATTGTCTATCTATCTATTTAAAAATGAATTGCTGTTCGTTAGTCTCGCTAAAACTCGAGAACGGCTAATCGGATTTATCTTACCTTAGTCATGAAATGTTCGTGGAGGTCTAGGGAAGGTTTAAAAGGCGAGAAAAAATCGAATAACTTCCTGGAAAACCCTAAAAACAGCCTTTTTCTATTTCCCATACAAACGTTTTCTAGAGTCAATTTGAACTTTATTGCTATTCAATAAAGTTCATATTAAATTATAATCACTCACTGTTGTCTAAGCAATTTAGGTGTGTTCCTAACGTCAAAGAGTCAATTTGCAATTTATTACCGCTGCATAAAGTTCAAATTCAATCATATATATGAAAATAGTCTTTGCGTGCGCTTTGGAGGATCTAATGTCGCGTTCCGAAAATACACAAAAGTGAATCGCGAACGCGACAAAAAATGTAATAAACTGTTTATATTACTGATTTCCAATTAATTTGGTCGGCTTCGCGAAACTTAATTTTAGCTAACTTCAGTTGTAACTGTATCAGATTATTTTTTTAAGTTTGATAAATCTTAAGTTTCTGAACACCACCATGATATTTGACATTAGATTTGACAACCAACTAATATTTCAATCATTCTGTCGCACTTCAGAACACGGAGATTTATGGCTTAAAGGTAAACAAAAAAATAAATAAAAAAATCAGAACACGGAAAAAAGTATTACGATTGACGATACTGTGTTACGATCATGGTTACGATATTCTATAAGTGCATCCTTCTAACTTTGTGAGTGACGATTACCGCTACGTGCGTGAGAACTTTCTTTACTTTTGTGATAGTGACATTCCAAGAAGTGTGCTCTTTTTTTGTTGACATTTTGTGATAGTGACACTTTACTGTTAAGTGAGCGAGAAATTTTCTCACTTTGATTTCGTTACGATGCCGAGGAGAAGACGACCTGACTTAGGTCGTCGCAGTCAATCAAATGTGCGAAGAGCTACCTCACGTGCTAACCGCAAAGAATATAAACGTAAGTGTAGTCGAACTGTTGGACATTTTCAATGTATTACTATTTATGAGTGTATAGTATACTTATTAGGGCTTAGGGCTTATTTTGGCTTCAAGTGTGCAATGATTGCTAACATTTGGTTTGCGCTTTATTAACTAAAACACATATATGTAACTTAATTAATGTTAGGTTACATAGCTCGTGGAAAGGAAAACAATTCGGCAGTGCTCCAGTGCCTAGGCCTCAGGGTGCCTATTGGTTACGTCACGAGGTGACATCGACCGCGATACTATTCGTACTAAGCAAATACTAACCTCTCTAAAAGGAAGGAACAATGTATGGATATGAACGGCATAGATTAACAGACATTTTTAACTGTCCGTTGAGTGAACAGAAAAATAAGGTCTGCTTCATATCAGCTCCTGTAAGAAATAGTTGATCTTTTTGCAAATATTTTATCTATTATTGTTTAATATTGGGTTTTGAAGTTATTGAAGTTATACTTCTTTAGGCGCGTTATGAAAAATTGATGAGAGTGAAATTTTACGATTGCGCGCGCACCGTGATACAAAATTGTCAGTATGAAGTTTTTAAACCATCCGGGCGCCGAGCGTGCGCGAGCGAGAGGGAATAAGACAATCTACAATTAAAAAGAAATGGAATATGCGTGAAGTTAGCAGCTATGCACGAATTTTGAATGACTATAATGACATTTACCTTTTAAACAAATAAATTTTCATTATACATGTGCGAATTTTATATGTGCGTCTGAATTATAATCAGAAGTGATTTAAATTGAATATTTAAATCAATACTAATTAATATTAGAAAATATTTGTGAAAAAACTGTGCTCATCAACCTTCCTAAGTGCTTCAATACAATTGAGGTTAACTATCCGTATGTATTATTATTATCGAGTATTATTGTTGAGTAAAACTGAAACATGAACGGTTATTCATTGCTTTTATTTATTGTGTTTGTTACAGCAACTTTTTAGAAATATTCTACGACCCTATATATCAATAATTGAGAACAAAGATTTAAGCACGAATACTAATAAGGAGAAAATAAAGGCTTGGAGAGATATAACAGAGAAGTTAATATTTTAATAAGTACCAATACTCAAAATAATACTCGATAAAAATGACCACATTGTTTAATCAAAACAAGTAATTTTTCAGATGTAATCTAGCAAATGGCCTTATCCAAGAGACAAAAAACAATTGATGAATCAGTGGAAGTGCACTAAATTGAATACAAAAAAAGAGTTGTCATCTTATCGCCGTTAAACATCAAAAACTGGAGGTGGACCAAAGCCACCATCACCTTCTCCAGACACAATGGACGTGGCAGAGATGATACTGCAACAGTTTGAAATCGATTTCAATGAATTTGATTGTGGTGGTGTCGAGGTAGGAATGTTAATTATAAATATGATGTATGGTGATGTTCAAGGTTCAACCTCTCAAGCATAAGCATATGCTCACAACAGTACTTTACTCCCCTACAGGGTAGTCAGAGATATTCTAATACCTCGGAATATCCATGTTGCACATGTAGTACCGAAACTCTGTCCAGCCAGAAGTGAGCCCATTCCCACTTATAATGGACAGTGCGTATAATACACCTTAACACCTGAGTGCGAACCACTCAACATGATACTTAAATTAATTGATTTTATTTATATATTTCAGGATATTACAAATAAAATCATTTTGGAAACAATTAATATCCCAAAAGAAAATAAAGCCTACAATGACAAGGTAATAAATCAGTTTTGACATAACTTTAATACTAGAAAAGCCAGACAAAGGTGTGCACAACAGTGACAACATAACTTAACAATTTCATTATTTTGTAGGATTATAATCCAAAGGTTAAAGAAAATCACGTCGAACTGAACAACAAGAATCCCCAAACAACTCCAAAGAAACCTACAAGGAAGACACCGGTATTATATTTAAATTATCTCTATCTCTAAATATAATAAAAGAAAGTTGCTATCCAGGTCTGTAGCATGTGCAATTAGTTTTTCTAAACTACACAACGGATTTTGATCTGACTAAGATAAAGACTGTTCTTCCAGGAAGGATTTGTATAATATGAATTATAATTTTTTTAAGTTTTGCATGGAAAGAGCTTAAATAATATTCTCTTATTTGTTGCAGAAAGCAAGTAGTAGTTTTAGTTTTGGAGAAGCCTCGTATCAAGATATGCATAGCTTTCGGGCTCTGGAAAATGAGCAGCTTCAAATAGAACACAAACATAGAGTTAAGAATATGGCAGAGATGCACAACAAGTAATGATTAATTTAAAATTACAAATTGAAATTCTGATGAAGACATTGGAGTCACTTAAAAATAAATACCTAGTATAATTAAATAAAAATGTTTTAAAGAGAAGTAGTGTTTTATTTGTTTAAATAACTTAATTGTTAAAACAACCTAAATTAAGAACTATCAAACTTAAAAGTTTTCATCAATAAAAATGGCTCTCACTGCTGCTCCACACAGTGTATTTTGGTAGTGAGGGCAGGGTCTCTTCATCATCATCAGAGATAGGTTCCTCTTTTAAATCAATGGCTATATTGTGCAATACTGCCAAAGCTACAACATACATCTTAGTGTTTGGTAGAGATGTTCTAAATATATAATAACTAGCTGACCGGGCAAACGTCGTTTTGCCATGTATATCATTTATAATAAAAAAAAATAGGGGTTGATCATAGAGGGGTGAAAGTTTGGGGTTGTGTGTATTTTTTAATGCTGTATCATAAAAAAATAAAAACAGAAAAAATATCTAAAAATAAAAAATAAATATTTAGGGGTGGACTACCCTTAACATTTAGGGGGATGAAAAATAGATGTTGGCCGATTCTCATAGATACCGGATAAGCACAAAAAATTTCATCAAAATCGGTCAAGCTGTTTCGGAGGAGTATGGCAACGAAAACTGTGACACGAGAATTTTATATACATATTAGATAATATATACTTTTAACTTAATAGAATTTATGTTACACTTAATGTAAGAGAATAATAATAAATATTTATTTATTTAATTTTTCAAATGTAAACTGAACTTTATTGACTATAATGACTCCTTTTCCAGTCTTTGATTATTTAATTGTAAATAATTATTTGCATGCAATCAAAAACTACTTTTAATAATGCCAAAGAAGTATAACTTCTTACGCGCGTACATAAGTACACGCACCCTTTTTTCTGTATATGTATTGTTTTGTATGTGATATGAATTTAAATAGTTGCCGCATTGGTAGTATCTGTAATAGTAGTTTATTATGTTATAATAAAAATAACTTAATTCTTTTGAAGGACCCTGATAAATATAAAAACTAACCTTAGTCGGGTCTAGCAATAATTTTACATAATCATTCACTATTTTACCAACTACAAAATGAGAATTTTTAGAAATTTAAAGTACAACAATGATTATTTATTATTATTAAGTAGTTTAATTATTTATGGTCTAATATTTAGATAGTATTAACCACTGTTACCCGACATAAATTATATAATCTAATTATATATACAGAGAAATGTCAATAATAAGAATAGCTTTCACATGCATATTCTATAAGATTATCTTTTTGAAAAATACTAAGTATTATGTTGATGATGTTATATTAGTTCTAAGAAACAAATTTGTCGAGAAGATGAAGAATATTCATATTTCAGATTCTGTTATTTGACGCAGCCTGCGTCCGACGACGCATAATTTTGTATTATACCTTGTTCAACACCAATAAAGTTAGTTGACTACTATTAAAAATACAAAGAAACGCAACTAAACATATAACTCTAAATCATCATTTTATTATTTTTAATAGGAGATATAACGGGTTTTAAGAAGACCGAGGTACGTTAATTTTGACGACCAAATATAATATAATTGTTTATCTATATATATAAAAATAAAACCCGTTTTCAGTTGTCACGACATAACATGAAAACGGCTTGACCGATTTGTCTGATTCTTTTTTTATAATATTCCTTGAAGTACGAGGATGGTTCTTACGGAAAGAAAAATTAAAAAAAATTGAGTGAAAAAGTCTAAAAACAACACTTTTCTATATTCCCATACAAAATATTCGTAATAATACTTAAAAGTCAATTTGAACTTTAATACCATATCATAAAGTTCAAGTGTTAGTGGAGGGGTTCCGGGAAGGTAAATTTTAATTTTTTGACATAATGTATTTGTTGTCTTATCAACTTTCTTTTTTTTATCTTACTAGCTAGACCGGTGTCCCGAATAGCAGAATAAGTATTTAAAATAAAGAATCGACTGTTAGGCGGTACGATGTTCGCCAGGCCAGCTAGTTTAAAATATAAAAATTTGATTAACTTTCAAGAAACGGGGAAAAAACAGAAAATCGTCAGATTTGACTTTTGTTTCGTTTTTATGTTATATCTAAATATAATATTTAATTACCCTTTAACTAAGGTATAATAAAAATTAAAAAGAGCAGCGTTGGCCTAGTGGCTTCAGCGTGCGACTCTCATACCTGAGGTCGTAGGTTCGATCCCCGGCTGTGCACCAATGTACTTTCTTTCTATGTGCGCATTTAACATTTGCTCGAACGGTGAAGGAAAACATCGTGAGGAAACCGACATACATATCTTAGACCCAAAAAGTCGACGGCGCGTGTCACCTATTTGCCAATTAAATTTAAAAATGATCATGAAACAGATTCAGAAATCTGAGGCCAAGACCTAAAGAGGTTGTATCGCCACTGATTTTATAATTAAAATTAAAATCAATATCAGATAAAGGAATCACTTAAATCTGTAAATAAATCTCTAGTAAAAGTTTAAATTATGACTTTTTTCCATAGGTAAAACGAAACTTGAATTATTAGCAGTTGATAAAGTGTATGATTTCGAACTATTTCGTAACAATTGCTTGACTTGAGTTTGAATTTATATTATGATGTAGCTATGTGCTTACGAGGCAAATTAAGTAGTTCTCAGTACGTAACAGTATACTTTGATGAAATTGCTTACAAATCAACACGATCAAATAAACAATGAGAACATTCATATGCATTATTATCGCTGATTCGTATATTGTTGGTTTTAATTTCGTAATAGGTTTTAAGTAGAAAACAATAAGTTGCACGTATTTGTTCTTTTACGCTACGAGTACGTGTTAAATCCATTTATTTTAAATAAAGAGTATATGGTATGTTTGTAATATATTATTTCTATAACTTTTACCTGGTTTTGTAGTTTAATATTGAACGATATAAAATTAGATATATATCTATGTATTTCAATCCTTCAGTCATTGGCTTTTATTTCGAGGGGGTGAGGTTAGGGGGTGTCTTTGACATTTTCGTATAGAGACTCCAAAATCGAGTAGAGGAAAAATCTTACTAGTCCAGGTTCTGAATCGAAAAAAATTCTACGGCCCGCCGAAACCACCTAGCGAGATCAGGTTGGTGGCACTTTGGTAAAGTAGAAGTTTTAGTCCAAAAAACGCAAAATAAGATGACCGCCATATTTGATATATATATATAAATATATAGACGGACAGGGTTCCCGAACAAATTTGATCAGCTATATGGGGTGGGTAGAATGGTGTTCTATTTGGCCAAAACATAAACTGAATTGTTTGGAGTCGCCGGCGCTATGCTAGATATTCTGACTATGGTTTGGAACTTCTACCAGGTTGCGGAAAATATAAAAAAATATTTAAACTTAAACAAGAACTTTTTAGATTTGGAGAAATATAGCTATGTACACTTATGAACGCCAATATTTCAAGAAATAAAGATCTGCTTGCTACTTTCGATTACTTAATTACTAGTTTGTATTATTAATATTTATATTGCGTTCCATCGAAGTGTATTACAATACACAAAAGTCCAAATTTGTTCACCGTTTTCATGATAAATGTAATCACATAACAGGGACAATGTTGCGGTTTACCACAATCTTATCGGAGACACGCACATTATCCCACGAAAACTAAACTCCGTTCAACCTACAGTACGTATAATTATTGTTTCCCCTTCATGCGATAAGTTATTAAGATGGTAGTAAAAAACGTCATACCTTTGAAAACTAATGGTAACTGCAAGGTGTTTAAATACCTTATTTCCTTCCAATCTTAAAGTTGTTGCACCAAGTGGTAAAGTTGTAGGTGGAACTGTCAGTTTCTTATTCGCACAGCCTACTGTGATTAACGGAATGATACCACCAACTCGGTCGGTCACTACATGAGTCATTGCGCATAAGCAGGGCTGTGGACAAGTTTCGCGTACCATCTGAAAAGGCAATTTTTTTCATTATATTTAGAATATTAAAAAATCGTTTTTCATGTTAAATTCATAAAAGTATCAGTCGAACCCAAGTAACTCATATTTAATAACAAAGTTTGTTTTAGAAGTTTTACTACTTTGGCGTAACTAGATAAAAAAATTATTATCTAGTTACGCCTAAGAAGTAAAACTTCAAAAATATATTTTGTTTTATAAAAATTTTCACGGTCACTAGATGAGTGAGTCATTGCGCATAAGCAGGGCAAGTTTCGCGTACCATCTGAAAAGGGATTTTTTTTCCTTTAAATTCATAAAAGTATTAGTCGACCTCAAGTAACTCATATTTAATAACAAAGTGTTAAAAATATGTTTTTGAAGTTTTACTACTTTGCGTTGCGTTGCAACTAAAGAATAATTTAAAAAAATATTTAGTTACGCCAAAGAAGTAAAACTTCAAAAACATATATAAATTTATTAAAAAAAATTATCGTTCGCCTTATTCTACGTTTGTAGACAAAACGACACTAACAATAGAAACGCGTGTAAGTACACACACATGTTTTTTTTTTTTTTTGGCAAAACTTAAACTAATTTACGAATACCTACACTGTAAAAGACTCTGTTAAAGACTACAAAGAAGGATAGGTCCTTAAATGATTGTCCTATAACATAATTATTGTAAGTGTAAGATAGTTTTGAGGTGACGAAATCCATGTAAAAAACCTGCTTATACTACCCGGGTTTATAAACAGTAAACAATTTCATGTTTGAAAATTAATAAGTAGCTAAACAGACGTAGATAATATAATTATACATATATAGAGATATAATTTACCACTCAAACTCGGTAACAAGTTTAATTACTCAATTTTATTTGAATCTACGTCTAAGTTTTATTTCATATTCGGAGACAACAAAGAAGTGAAGAGGTTGAACAACATCTAGTATTTTTTGTTCGCGCGCTCTTATTTGCTTATGCAATTTTGAATTAAAATAACTGTTAATTAATTCACTTATTCTATTACTCAAAACAAAATGAATTTATAACTTATTATAATACAAGTTTATGCAACCTGCCTGGATAATTGTTTGTGCCTGGATTATTGCAAAGCAAGCATTATAACACGAAGCATTGTGCTGTTTATGGAGTGTTACTGGTCTACCTACTTGTTTGATCGAGGGGATACAACATAGAATATAGCAGCTTATTTAGTACTACTAAGCCTACCTATCTAGACAAGGAAGAAGAGACGTTGGTGAAAAAGAATATTACTTCAGAATGTCCCACGGACTAGTTTGCTAAAAAAATTGAAGGCAGAGTATGGTGACTTATTTAAAAACTTTACCAGAACTGAGGAAGTTGAGGTCTTTTTTTAAATTTATTTTTATTGTTTTTTTAGTTTTTTAATTCTAAATATTTTTCGTTACACTACTTCATGACCGATAATTCTCACTTTCCGAAACAAATACAAACAACAACATAACCTACAAACTGTTTTGACGCACGAAAAATGTCACATAGATGATAGAATCCATTGTGCCCGGATTCAAGCTGCGACAGTCTGCCACATGACGCACGGTTCTTTTTTAAATTTGTAGCATGCGGACTTGTAGCATGCCGTAATGCCGCACAGTGTTGACATAACAAGATAATTAGAACAATGTATTGAGAAAAATCGATTGGGTTGTTATAGGGTTAGCCGAAATAAAAAAGATGGGTTAAAAAGATGGATTCTTCAATTTTATATGCAGATCCAGAATTTGAAGATTATATCATCTACATAACACTACTAATAATATAGAATCTATATACTAATATTAAAATATTAAGTAATATTAACTCCCATCACACCGATCGCAGAATGCAGAGATGTTGTCTGCTGCTAGCATCCCCAAAGATGCGTCTAAGATCAGTTAAAAAGACGGTAATGATCTTACCTTAAGACTAGACAGCATATATCCAAAACCTTCACGAGAATTCGAAAGCATTAGACAATAGTTTGGAAAACAAAATATATGTACAACACGTAACGACAAATTACAAGAATTAACTTCAGCAAGCCTTAAATTAGAAAATAATGCAATACATATACAAAACCCAACAAAAAATATGTACTCAGTAAAGAAAAATAAAACGGACGTAACGAAAGCCCAAATCAGATACATATGGAAACTACCCTATAAAGCAATCAGGTAGGACTAAGTACAGAAAGAAAGTAATCGAGAAAAATCTGGTAACTTCCAGAAGTGCATCATATAAGGAACTAAATACACACAAGAAATGGATACAGAGCCTAGTAAACAGTCAGAAGAAAGCTATAAATAAGAAAGACATCCTTGAACTTGCAACCAACTTTTATCAAGAACTTCATAATAAACAACCAGATAACACAATAACCTAGGAAGACAACACATGTCAACCCATCAAAATATGTATGTAGTTATAAAGATCTTGCCCATAAGGGCGAAATATTGCATCACATAAAAACTCTAAAGTCAGGCAAAAGCTCAGGACCAGATAACATAAGATTGGAGCATCCTGATCACATGTCTGATAATACTTTTTAAAATGGTAATAGCATAGAACAAGAAGTGCCAAAACAAGGGTGCCTATCAAATATAGCGTCGATGTATAAGAAAGGCGCGACACACTAAACATTGAGAATTACAATCAATTTGTTTTCATCAATAACACTAAGCCAAATAGTACCAAAAATTTACAACAACCAACCAGTAGAACAAGCTGGTTTTCGCCCAGGAGATTCTATCATCGACTATAACACTATTGAACAAATCATAGAAAAATACTAGGAATTCAACAAACAGGTCTAAATAGTATTTGTAGACTATTCGAAAGCGTTCGACAGTGTAACTCATACATCTTTATGGAAAGCTCTGAAAAATAATAAATACATAATATTAGAATTAGTAGAATAAAGCTAGAAAACAAAGGCCGAAAAATTCAAATTGAATAAGGTGACCCAATTTCGACAAATAATATATAGCAGTGCTTAAAGCCGTATTCCAAGGTATAGAATGGAAAAATAACAGCCTCTAGATACGAAACAAACATCTAACTCACGTAAGATTTAGTTAATAACTATTTATTTAAAGAGATTTATTACGTATGAGGGTGTGCAGTTGTTTAATCAGTTGCCGTCTAAGGTTCGTAACATTAGCGTGATTAATCAGTTCAAAAGGGCATTAAAGATACACATCAGAATGAGCCCATTAGTCTAAAATTGGGCTAGCTGATGGCAACGTGTATCTCGTTCGTATATAATATTAAATTTCTCATGTAAATAAAAAATAATTTTTGTAATGAGAAATACAGTTCTTTAAACATTATACATTATATTAAGAAAAGCAAGTATCTTTCGACAAGAATAGCAGTTAAAACTCCACGAGGAAATTCTGATAGAAAACTACAGTCTTTAACTACAACTCAAGAAGATAATTATGGATAAAAATATTCAACCTTATCTGACATACGCAAGTCATACGTGGGATTTCAGCAAGAAAAAAAATCCTGTCTTGCCAGCATGCAATATAAGGAAGCATCTTAAAATTGAGGAGAGTAACCAAAAAAGAAGTGTTGATATTCGTAACAAAACAAAACTTCCAGATGCACTTGTACACGCTCTAAGGCTTAAATGGAAATGGTCAGGTCATATATCTAGAGCGCGGGATAAAATATGGACACTTGAAACCACAAAATGAACTGGACCTACCGGAAAGACGATGATGATAGACGCGTAGGACGACATAAGAGAATATGGACAGGTGGCGTTATAGAAGTAGCAGGGAAAAACTGGATGAATGTTGCTCAAGACAAAGAGAAAAATGGGATTCAACCCGGGTTCTTTTAACCCGCACAAATTCAAATACTAGAACAGTAACAAAACTTATCTTAATTTTTAGAACTTATACTAATTAGAAATATATGTTAAACAGTATAAAATTAATACAAAAAATTAGAAATTCGATAAACTCGAATAATATTCACAGAATGTAAATGTGAGCGGAACACTAAATGTATATCGTCTAAATAAGAAAAGTAGCCCGGTAGCTCCTTCGCCCTAAAGCGTAATCTACCAGAATTCTGGGAGGCTTCCATTTTTTTGTTTAGTTTAGAAACTAATGAGACTCTGTTATTCTGTACTTTAGTACTCTGCTTATACCATAAATACCACATTAAAACTCCTTTGTATTTCGTTGCATCCACTATAAAAAAAACGTAGGTAGGATTAAATAAGTGTCATATGACATCTTATCAGGTATCGTTGACTATGGCACACAATACTCAGTAATCGCGGTAGGTTTGTTTATGGTATCGTAATACGAGGTCTGTAATGTAAACAGAATATTTATGAAGAATTGTATATGCAAAGATATATTCGACGACTGTCGAGTTTTCCATACAAATTACTTAATGAAATTGGCATGATTTGAATCTGATTCAATATGTTTGAACTAGACCAAGAAAAAGCGACCTAATGGTAATAAATTCAACAAAATTGTTGTCTATAGCTACCGCCTACGAATCCATTCAAATTACCATAGATTTCATTCACTGTGCTGAGTGCCCATCTCATTATATGCATTATGTATACACGCAAAGTCAATGGTCAGTCACGTATAATGTGTGTATTACAAATATCACATGATACAAATTGATAAAAAGAGTATTTATATTCAGAAAAATATTCATCAAGAATGTTCGCGAACCCATATGTCGACCAAATGTTAACAGATTTTCTAACTCTTTGTTTTTTTAAATGACCAAAACGGTCATATTATTCTGTAACATCTGGCAACCAAGTTTAACACCTCCATTTCTTGCACAGATGGACAGAACAATGAAAAATTGTAACGTAGATGTTTTATTGCTAATTATAACCGTTTCATTCCATTGTTTTATCTGCATAGGTAAACAGATGAATATTATCTGTTGGCATTCGCTATAGACGTCAATAAACTTAACAATAGAACGGTTTACTTGGAAGTTCAAAGTTCTTTTTTATTCGTTTAACAGAAATGTTTTGGTTGAAAAAAAAAGTTTATATAAAACCCTTTCAACCCTACCTCTTATGGAGCATGGGTAAAAACATATTTCCATGCCTATTTTATTGATCATTTCTTGCAGATTAACTTTCATGCCACACTGAAATAATGTTTGGTTTTATTTTATTTACACTTCGTTGCAATAAAAATAAAAGAAACACAAACTACATAATACATAAAAATTATAAGGGATGCAACGGGCGGCCTTATCGCTAATAAGCGATCTCTTCCAGGCAACCCTAGTTAAAGAAAAAAACTAAAAAAAAGAAACATGATGAGTGCGAGAAGTGGATAACCAAATGTTGTATAAAAAAATATATTTATAACTATATCCAATAATTATTTTTATATATCCAAGAATTTAACTCAACGCCTCCATACTATCCTGTAGCTGTGTAAATATTTATTTTTTTTGCATAGGTTTACAAGTGTTTTAATACCTAGGTAACATTATCTGTTCTCATTAATAACGATTTGCACCTAACCCATTTGTCCAAAGTAAATTATCATATTTCATCATATTAAAATTTCGTAAAGAGAATTTTTAGCCCTTTAAGGTGTTGTCATTGGAGCATCGTTGAAAAATCATTGTGAATTACTTTGATGGACTCAACATTTTAACAAAAAAAATAGTTTCGTGTGTAGATGTCCTAGGCGTCCCATCATCCCATTAGTCCCTCCTTTCAGAAGAACGCGTTTTGGCCAAAACTTACTGATTGAGCATTCTGATAAACGAGCTAGGTCTATCCATAGTTGCTCCCCACTTCAAAATCTGTTATGTTTGCCTATAAGTGTCTGTCACAATAAATCTTGTATTTTATATTTCTTAAGTACCAATGCATCAGTGTGCCGAGCGTTGATAAGTTTTTGTATAATTAAGGCATAAAAATCTCCCTAAATCGATGAACAGAAACAAGACACTTGCAAAACAACTCAAATGTACAAAATTCTTAGAATAAAAATATATACTAAGACAACTTATTGTTTAATCAGATATCATTTAATCATACGCATAATTTGTATTTACTTAACTACAAAGTAATAATAAGAATTATTGAAAAGAAAATTAAAAAAAAAGTTTGGTCCCCGCTTTAACGCTGGCAGCATTTCCTCGCTATATTGCGATACTTATTCGTTGAGCCAGGAAAGCACCAGCTCTGGGGTCACTGGTACTATCTACCAGGCGCCAACTTAAATCTTTATTAAGCGCCTGTCACTTGAACCCAAGAGTCTCTACTCCAAAGGGAACAAAATCGAAGTTGGTGGAAAGACTCTTATAATTGTGCAGTATTTAGACAAATTATTTGTATATAATCTTTTAAAAGATCTTACTTTTATGATATCCATGACTTTGTGTAAAGGCTTTCCTCTGTAAAGCTGTTGATGACACACCAGTAGATAATAATCACCAATCATTCGTTTTATGGTACCATTCTCGTGTTCCATGGCAAGCCAATCGAGACCACCATCACTGCAATCCCACTTGTTATCTAGAATATAAAACTTTTTAATTTGTCTTAAGCAATTAATATCGATATTTCAAACCGAATTTTGCCTTTGAAATTATTAAATATTTTTTATATTTACTTTTTTTTAATTAAAGGTAAATGTTTCTACCACGGGTTTATTAGCAACCTTATACATTCCAAAACCTTAACTTTAATAGATACTAAGGACGTATTTTCAGTTTACGAAATGCCTTAGATAGGCCATGGATACAACTTACACCCACATTCAATGAAAAATTGTTTGAGATAGAGTAACGTACACTGATTATACAGTAACGATAATTAGGTTAATAAACTGTTAGAATAACTAATTAATTGCTACACGCCTTCAAGTCTCATAAGGCCTCTATATTTTTGGCTAAGGAAAAAATATGATAATTCTATAGGGAAAATATATCACCGGGGAAATTAATTGAAGATGACAGACGCGTACTATTGACGCTAATAAAATATGATTTTTGGACCTGGATACGTCTAATTATCTGATCCCAAAGAAGGCAATATTCAAAATAATTTACACACAATCATTGTGAATGTCCTGCCATTTATAAACGATCTATTCCTGGGATTACAAATACGATGCCCATATACTTTAACATTTAAAAATACTAGGAAAATAACATTTAGACAAATTTATGGTGAAATTGGCACTTGACAGGTGTAATCGACGGTAAAACTACAATGAGTAGTGTCAAATATTTTTGTAGCGGCACCCAGGAGTCATAAGCAAAATTTAATTTTTCGCGTTTCAATAGAATTCATATTCTGCCAAGAACTAAGGTAGCGTGTATAAAAACAACCAAAAGTATGTCCCGAGGTTCCCAGAGCCCAATACTCTATTCCACTTAACAAATAACAATTAAATTTCTTTGTTGAAAATAATATTATGTTGTATACATAATACACTTAAACAATTAGAGCTGAGATGCATAATATAAAGGAATTCGGTAGTTGCATAGAATGTTTTTAACGTAAATGTTATGCGATAAATAACGAAAATATACGATATTAACCACGCAAGATTTCCAATCATCCACCAGCTTTAAAAGGGGCCAGTAATATATACTACAGGTTAAATATATCAAATATCAAACACCCAAAGAAAAATACTAACAAAAATTATATTTTTTTGGGCAAACAGAACAATAGTTTCTTTCAGGTTACATTAAATCAATCACCTCACAATTTCACTTGTAAGCAACAAAAATGCGTATTTTAATATAATAATTAATATATTTATGTATGAGCTGTGATGTGATGTGTGTTAAGATACCTTAATGTTATTGTCCTACGATATGATTATTTAATGTATTAAATCTATGTTACTCACTTACTCACGATTTGTTTTAACATGTATTGTTCACTGCAGACTACAAAGCACGGTAAACATTAAGCATTTTTACTATTGTGATATTCAGACGGGTACTTAAAGAAAGTGTTAAAAAAATAAAAAATCTATACATATATTGCTAAGTGTAGACAGATAACGCACCACTTAAGTAGACCTTTTCTAATTTTTTTGGCCCTTTTAATAGCGGTGCTTTTAAGTGTCTAAGCACATTGCTTCGGAAGTCAATAACTTTAAGTTGTGACATTTGTGAAACCATTTCTGCTGGAACTTCCCATAGCGATGTCAAACCGTGCACTGAGAGCTTCTGCAAAGGAAGATATTATTAATACCCACATGAAAAACTTCTGGAAGGGGAACCGCTTCTAGAGTAGTTATGGGGGTCAAAATGAAATAAGAATGGCTTAAATGTATATTATATATATGTTTTGTCAGTGTCGAGACTGAGGCGTTTTTGACAAGAATATATTAATAAACGGGGAAATATCTCATGATATTTTATTACATACATATATTATTACTAGCTGGCCCCGCGAACTGCCAAGCATACCTTTTTAGTACATACCAACATGGAACATTTTGCTACGCTACCTCAGAGACTGTTCGTTACTGGAATGAAAACTAAGTAGAGGGTAGATGAAAATTAAGGGTTGTATGTATTTTTGTATCCTATATCATAAAAAAATAAAAACAAAAAATATTGCCAAAAAAAAATTTCTTAGGGGTTTCAAAGATAGTAGCCAATTCTCAGACAGAATATGAATAACAATTTCATAAGAATCGGTCGAACCGTTGTGGAGGAGTAGTAGGAACGAACATTGTGACACTAGTGTATATATATACACTACTACGTATTCTATATAGAGATTTTTACGGAGTTCTGTTGGACTATTAACTAACTAAAGGATACTAAGTAATACAATGTTGACCTATATGCTATATAAATTTATGAACAGTGAAGTTTTCTGTTTAAATATAGCTGGAACAACAAACTCAAGCTCAAGTATAAATTAATAACCTCGATGGTTTATCACCTAATACTATGTAATATATTCCCCCTTTAAAATATTATAGAACGTGTTTTACACCTAATCACATTTATTTTTATATTAAAAGGATATCAGTGCCAATATGCATATTAAAGTAAAAGTAAAAGGAAAACGTTAATAATTAAGACGTCCAGTTTTCCATACAAACAAATTGAGGTAAAATGAGTCAATAAATTTAACACCCTTGCAAATTCATTCATATAATACTAGACATCGGTGAAAAAGGGCAATGCCGCGCATTGGCGTGCTAGTTCGGTAGGTTCAAAAGAATACCATCAGTTGTGACGTAAATAATATTATAGCTTAGTTCACTTGTGTCCAAATTATGACAATAAAGATTAATAAGATGCGATTGTTTACTTTTTAGATGTTCAGAAGTGTCGTATGAATATTTCTATAAAACTTAACTATATCTAATGTGTGCCGTGTAATCTACACATGATAAATATATCTTTGTAATACATTCAATAGGTTTACTTTCTATTAAATTGGGTTAATTTACGTTATTTAACTTAATGTAAAAACTAAAAACCATACATATCTAGCATCATATTATGTACTTTGTGAAAAAGCAGCGCGCGTCAAGCCATGAACTAAAGCTGTCGGCGACATCAAAGAATTCAAAGTCGGTACATTGTTCAAATTTGTTTTAATAATATAACCTTCCATAACAAAAGAATCGTTCTGCTTTATGTTGTATGTACGAAGATTATTTTGTGTATGGAAATTATTATTTTATGATGTACCTACTAATAATAATTTCGAGCTTAGTTCCTAGTTTTTTTTAATATGATGATAACTACGCGAATTTAGGTTTTTTTCTGTTTTATAACCGAGGAGAAAATACTAATTGCGTAATCCCCGCAATTAAAAAGCTACGGGGATATGTGGGACTTGACTTTGACCAGGCATCCTCTCTGCTACTCGATTGCATCCTGCCCTGCCGCAAATGGAAACTCCCCTGGGGTCGCTTTCACATTCTACCGGTGAATTTAGCCTGTAGTTTTATATATTCGTGATGTTCTACTTGAACCTATGACAATATATTCTTGTCTAGCTTCAAATAATTTATGATTATCTTTCTCTGACTTTTCTAATATACTTGGGTTTCCAAAATGATTAATCACAAATGCTGGTTTCAAACTGTCTATTGACAAGTTGGAAGCCTTGCCGTCGTACCAAGAGCTTTTAAACTTCACACTTTCTCTAAAAATCTTAAGTAGTGCCTTTTAAACCTGCCTTATGTTCAAACTGAAACTGATTTACATTTTTGTTTAAAAGTAGTAAAATGAGAAAAAGTTGAAGTGCTGTGCAAATTTGTTAAAAGTTCAAATAAAATCGTTTGTCAAATGGAAGAGACTAGCCGCTCACGACACAGGGAAACCGAATGTGCTTATTCATATTATTATTTCTATAATGTAATAATAAGCAATTAACTGAAACAAATATCAATTAAGGCTTGTTTACATGCATTACCTCGTTTTCCGAGTTCCGAGATCATAATATTCATAACATCAGAATTTAGTAGTTTAATTGCTCTGTATTATTGAATTTTTTTTTTTCATCTTCGGTGCATCTAAAGCACCTTAATTGGATCGACGGACTTTTGTTTCAGTCGCTGTTTCTATAAGTGAATTCATTATAGCGTCTTCCCTTGCCGGTTTTTCGGTTTACCAACATCACGATTTTGTCCCTAATCTCCATGTGGAGACTTTTTAGCCACCATCGGTTCTTCGTACCATGTGTCCAGGCCATTTGAGCATATAAGCTCTCTCGGATATGTCAATATATCTGATTCAATCGCAAAGATAAAGATGTTTCTTTCTCTTTGCACAGCCTTCACCATTGCTCGTCAACCGACGCGTGGTGTGTGTTCAACTTTTTAGCGCAGACAGTCATCAATTGGTAAGATTCGAAGACTTTTGAGTGGAGTATTACTATTTATTAGTATAATATAGACTTAAGATTCTGACCATAATTACCAACATAACATTAATGAATGGTCCATGTGTTTATTTGCGTATGATAACTGTAATCTATTCTAATCACTTTCAAAAGATAAGCAATACCATTATAACTGATACAGCATTACTAACATTATACAAGATACGTTTCTAGTTTATGAAAGACAAAAAAAAATCGGTAAATTATAAAATTCCTATTTATATTTCTAAGTTGATAAATTAATAAACAATAGGGCAGACTCTATTCCTACCTATTATTTTTGTCGTGATTGTGTACATTGTTTATCGTTTATTTTTGTTATGAATCGGCTCCATCCCTGTAGTTCTTGCTAATCACTCTGTAGAGCCAGGTGTGGCTGGTACATGTAATTTGTTACGTATAAAACTAATAATATATATATATACCGTGTAAACTCTTTATAACGCAATTCGATATAAAAAACTCTCTATAACGTAAAATGAATTTATTTGGTTTAACCCAATACCTATACGTTAATTTTGTCTCCCAATAATAAAACCTCTCTATAACGACTAAAATACTCGGTACCTTGAAATTCGTTATAAAGAGTTTACACGGTATACGACTTGATGATGCTTGCAATTTCAAGACCCCTTATGAAACCGGAACATTACAAAATTATAAGAAACTATCTTACCTCAATTCTGCTTACTGCTGTGAAGCGTCCTTTAAGCTTGGTTATGAGCGTGCAGTTGTAAAAGCCTAATTCTCTCAAGTTAGGGTAATGATACTCCAAGCGATTCACGTTAAAACAAGTACCCGGCCAATCCACTACCTTTAAACTTCTTATTTCGTGCCTGTGGGAAAATTGGATGAGATTATAATATGAGATTATCTTATGAATTTAATATTATATATTGTATTAAAGTTCTTTTTTTTCGATATTATCGTATTGGCTTAGTATTGTAAGGTTAATGTATGTATTTTTGTGAATAAATAACCGTTTGCAGTGGATTTTAAATTTATTTAAAAAAATATTATCTACTCGCTTTCGACAATATAGTCCATATTATGAACGTATTTTATAAAGGAGGAAATTTTTTAAAAGGCTTTAAAAAAGCATTCTTTTTCATCAGCTAAATGGAGCTATATAAAAAATAATCTTAATCATAATAAATAAATTATAAACAATAGCGGCACGTGTCAAATGTGAATATAATATAATGTGAATAGAAGTGAAAGTGAGTTCGCTTCGTTTGATTCAAATAACATTTATTGACCTACCATACTCCAGTCAACCAATCATTGGTGAACCCTCTAGTGCACACCAACTGGTGACCAGATTTAGAACACAGAGCTTTATTAGTCCCTGTCAGTGTACAACCTCTGGTGCCTAATGCTGTATGGTTTTGCTTCGAATGTGTATTCGGAGCGGCGATACCAATCATTAACGTTGTGAAGAGAATCCTTACAACTGAAAGTGTATTTTTTAAAATTAAAAGTATATGTTATCCAACAACACCCCCTTATAAAGTGTATTTAAAGATGCGAGCGTAAGACCAAGTCTTTTATTTAACTTGATTTAAGATATTTCTATCAGCATTTATATTGATTTACAATTTCATCAAATACTTTGATTATTGGTTGAAGAAAGCGTTGTCCACTTGACATCTAAGCGATTGTAAAGTTTTGTTGCTATATTCTAGAATAAATTTAGAATACAATTTGTCATTTTTTTGCTACATTGGTTGTTTTATCGAGTATCATCATTCCAATTTAAAAAATCATCACAAATCAAAATAGAATAATTTCTTAAAAACATAAGATTTGATTTCATTTGTTTAGAAAAGTAATAGTGAATGTTATTTTTTTTCTGTCGTTCTGGTTATGCGATATTTATATTACTAGGTAGTAAGGCAGTGTGTACACTACACTCGTTAATTGAAGTGATTCGTCGACGATCACCGTTCGTGACAAACTAATTTGTTTAGAACCATCATACCGACCTTCGCGGATATGTTAACTTCATCTTGTTGAGTTATCTAATTTACGAAACCAATAAACTCGAAAAAAATTGGAATATTTTTGTTGTTTTTATATCTAAATCCTAATGTAATTTGCATTGATTAAAATAAAAAACGAAAATAACTGAACTTACTGGATCAGTGGTAGTCGTTAGACCATATTAGGGGTCGATTATAAAGTAATTAGAGATTTTTTTAAATTCGTCACTCAATTGTGAGTAAAAACGGTTTATTCACTGTCATTTGCTAACAAATAAAATTAGGCTTCGTAGCTGATATGAATCATTATCTGGACATAATTTAAAAAAGGAGGCTGTAAATTTTCGATCATCAAGGATCTGCCTCTGGAACTGCTCCGCGAACTTCGATTGCCTTTATGTCTTTTAAACTTAGCCTACCTTCTTAGGAGCTACATAACACCATATTATGGAACAATTTGCTAAGCTACCTCATAGAAACTGTTCTCTTTCCGAAATAAAAACCTAAGTACTAAATAAATTCATTGTCCAATTATTCTCTTCATAAAAGCCTTCCTCAGTATTCCTAAGAGTTCAATGAATAAAAAAAAACAAATTGTCGAATTGAATCAGCCGTATTGGAGTTTTGCGCTTAGCAACATATTTTGCGATTTTTTTATTTTAGTTAATCTACGTTTACAAAATCGTGTAGTAAAGGTTTACTTGTAATATATATAGTAAATAAGTATAAATAGTAAAGTAAAATGGGAATTTGATGTTTATTGACAATAAATAAAATTTAAGATGTTTTTATGGCTGTATGGGAGAGAGCTTACTTTTATTAAATAGTAACCTACACAATTGTTGGTTTGTGCTTTATCTGGAAATTTTAAAGCGCTTCGTCTAAATAATACACTGGCAAAAATAAATATATTATGTTTTATAGTATTATGTAAAACTTAAAATATTTAGTACATGTGTATAAATAACACATAATTAATCCTAGATTTTTATTGAAGTGTAGATGCGAAAGTACTTAAACATATAATAACTCGTAAGCATATAATAAGTAGTCTGCCCTAATTTTGGTTGTTTAAAAAACAAAATAAAAAAACGCGGATAATTTTTTAAAAGGAATATAGATTTTTCTTATTCTGGAAAGAAAATGTTACTACACCAGTTATTTCAAGTTTTTATTGCCTTTAAGCTGGATTAAGGAAAATATAAAATGTTTTGGTATTAATGATTGCGGGTACGAATTGAATTAAATTTATCTGAAATACTTTTGAACATTAGCGATGCTAGCGTGAGTCAGATATTAATTTTCATTATTTTTCCATTTACCATAGTATGCAAAAACAACAAACGAAATATGAGATCTAACTTTGTCCTATTTAATTTACAAATACTCGCGCAAAATGTCAAAGCCTCAGTCATCAGAATTATAGAACTATGTCCTACCAATGCCTATACATATTCTTAGGAAGTTTTCTCTGTAAAATTCAAAATGTAAAAATTTAGTTCATTTGGTTTATTCACACCAGTACACACTATACTTATTATAATTTAAATAGAAATCACTTACCAAAATACCTCATTATTATAATTTAAATAATTACTACATAAAGGCAGAAGGAGAAAAGAATAAAACGCGGAAAAACGAGTTTTCGGAAAAACGCCCGCGCGATCGACAGCCAACTCGCGACTGAAAACCCTGATGCTGAAGTTACCGAAATTATCAGGTAAACAAAGCTCAAAGAAAATGCGCAAAGATTTTCAAACGGTTTTATATCTCTCGAAACATTTTGTAATTGTGATCGCCGGTAATTGTTTATACCTAATTCGCCAATAGGCTATATTTATTAAAAATATATGTAAAATATATGTTATACACAACAATACATAATTAAATGGTTTAAATTATGTATTATATAAAAAATCTAGATTTTCTTAGTATGCAAATAGTCAGAAAATACATTATTGATTACTAATCTAAACAGTCGTGCTATGTAATATATCGCAATGCGCAAAGTTTTCTGAACATAAACCTATTATTATGATTTCAGTTAACTTCGGATAACCACTTCACCGTTTCTTATAATATATTCTTCTTATTTGACTTATATGTACTTAGTAGTTAAATAACGCTCATCTAGAAGCACATTGAAGTTTGACCATTTCATTGTTGACATGCCCAGTTGCCGCACTGCACGATTTGGATCGTCGTTTCTTGTAAAAACAGCAAAGAAGTGAAACTCCTTGCCCCCTTCCATCTTCCCTAGACAGTTTAATCATCAGCATCTCCTGAAAAGGCGGGCCTTCCAATAGGCCTTATCTAACTTAACATCGATTGTGGCAAAACGTCTGTCCAGATCTGTATAAAAATATAGATATAAATAGTTAAGAAACAGATCAAATTTCAAATTTTCAAAATCATTTATTCATATAGGTTAAACACAATGTACACTTATGAACGTCAAAAATATATATATATATATCAAGGGCGTAGAATGGAAGAGAATAACTGGAAACAAACTTCCCGGCACTCTTTTTAATCGCCAAGTTTTTTGTTATACACAACATTTGTAAGGAGCTGCAACCATTACACCATGTTCCACGTGCCTATTATTAAAAGAAAGTTGTGAATTTTGTAAAGTGTCTCTGTGTATCTTTGTTTTGTGTATTTTTAAGTTCCGGATTGTATTAAAACATTTTTTAAATAGGTCACAGGTCAAATTTTCCATATATACACTCCGCGATTATGAAAAATACCAAATTAGTACTCTTAAAATAGGACAACAAAAATAAACTTAAATACATGACAATAATATAAGACTCTACTCGTAAATCTTTCTACAAGTATCGGGTTTTATAGACTGGTAACGGATATCGTTATCTAGTTACGATATTCAAGCTCGACTGCATGTTTGGACAAGTATTCGTACTTATCAGAAAAATGTGGATAATAGATTCAAAGGGCACTCTAAAAACCTTTGTAGTCTTATTAGTCATTGCATTTTTAAAATACCTTTGAAATAGATAAGAACAGAAATGTATGTATTAGTAAAGCGTAATGACACGTAATTATTACTTATTCTCTTATATTAGGAACAATAAAATATAATATAAACGTCGCTTGCTTCACATTTGTCACAATTAATCCAGAAATGTTACATAAGCTGTACTCAAGACTGACAGAACCTATTTTTATTTTCATACAGCACACTACGTACATATAATAAAAACTGATGAACCGAATTTATCTTTGACACAAAAGATTAACAATAACTGTGCTGTAAGCTCCTTGCCTTCTCCAGCACTTCTTACCAAACATGATGCCCCTCGTAATCGCAACCAACTCATCGAAAATAAAATTTGTGACGTAGATCTTAAAGGTGTCGCTCGCCTTTTGTTCTCCAACTACGTGCTATCACCAGATACCCCCGACTCCCTTCAGCCCTTACGGACAAAACATCCCCCAGCTCCAGTAAACCTATATTTTCTCAACCCACCAACAGCAGGGCAAGCATGCATTCAAATTTAAAATAAAGATGTTACGGATGCCATTTAATTTTTTAAACCTGGTTCGGCTGCAGGATGGAATCTCACCCCAACATTTGAAAGACTTAACATCGCATTCTGTGGGTGATGCAGGCGATCAACTAGTAAATTTGATAACTAAATTAATCAACTTTATGTATTCCGGTAATGTCAATACATAAATTGTTCCCATTCTTTTCGTCGCGAACCTTATTGCCCTCACCAAAAAGGATGGAGGGGTGAGACCATTTGTTGTTGGTTCAACACGTCGTCGACGTCTGGCCTCCGAAATTGCTGTTCAACATATTTTACCAAAATTAAATTCGGAATTTAAACCCGTACAGTTAGGCTTCGGTGTCAAAGGAGGGTGTGAGGCAGCCGTCCATGCCCTACGCTCTTTCCTTACCTACGGACAGCCTGACGTGTCGCTCAAAATTGATGACAAAAATGCTTTTAATTCGGTTAATAGGGATACCCTGCTCACTGAAATTATACAACCTATACCGGAAATATACAATTATCTTCTTCTCAGTTACTCTGACCCAACAAAATTGTTATATCGTTCTATAAATCCAATAAAACAATGCGTGCCGAAAAACGTGTGGTTTTTGTTGCACACTCCCTCGAGAGGGGTGAGCTTTAGCCCGTTCGAGGTATATGCGCCCTTCAGGTGGTGTCTATGTTCGCGCCCTGATGATACAGGGCGGTACGGGGGCGGGCAGTATAGCCCTTGGTGAGGGTAACGCTCTCTCATTTGTACCAACTATCAACTACCGCCGACAAATATGTAAGTGTAAAAGTGTTGTGCTTAGTCAGTCAGTTAAGACTGCGGTCCGTGCACCTCGACGCATTCAGAAACAATGGGTGCCGATACAGTGGCGAACCGTCAGGCGGGCTTTTATACACCCGAAACTTAGTGGGGCAATGAGCTCTTGTGCACGTGCATTGCAGGTGCGGTTACAGGTGCGGGTACAGGTGCGTGTTCAGGTGCGTGTGCACGTGTCGATAGCGCTCGATAACGCTGTCTCATTTGTACCAATCTTCAACTACCGCCGACATATATATTAAACAATATGAAGTAAGTGTTTTTTTAAATAGACCCTCACCACCAGACCTCAGTCCCCTTAAAAGATTGGAACCATCCAACAGTAGGTTAGGTATATTTATTGTTGTTTTTTAAACCCGTAGGCTAGGTTAGGTATAATTTTTTATTTTTCATTTAGAGCCATAGATTAGGTTAGTGAAAGTAGGAAAGTAGATAACTATAACGATGCATTCGAACTGAGTCAGTCATTAGATAATGATTGGAAATTTCGTGCAGGAAATAGTAGCTGATAAGATGGTGATAAGTAATTAGCTAGGGTTTAGAAAAAGCTATCTCTGAAATGGTAAGAGATATCACTTCAATTAAAATATTCAATCGGACCGACGCTGCGTTGGTGGCATAGAGTTGTTAAAGACCTTGAAAAAATAGGAGTTCGAATTTGGACGCGAGAAGCACTGGATAGATTGCGATGGCGAAGTGTACGTGTAATCGCATTATTTCATCTAGCGCTTTATCAATTATAATCTCTAGTCGCCCATAGCACTGATCTAGTGCGTTCATAATAAGCTCGGGATCGCAAGCAGTACTCAATAATACGGCAACTGTTTCTTTAGCGGCTCTCGTAAGAGATGTACGTAATCTTGTTATATTTTCCGTGGAGTCTTCATAAGCAACTTTAAAGTAAAGCCAGTCGCAAACATTCCCGTTAAACTGCGGCAGATCTGGAGCATGTAGTACAGGGGGTCTGTTTGTAGCTATTTTTTCAAAGGCTCCGATGAGCCGTTCCATCGATCTTGGGATCGCGTTCTCGGCACGGAGGCCTCTTCGATAGGTGATATGGGCCGCTCTATTTCCCAAGACATATTCTGTATGCATGGCTTCACGCGTTCTGCAAGCACTGTGTGTTCTTCCCTATCACCCTGAGATAGATTATTCTCGCCGCCATGCTTTCTTAGCCGTTTGTCTACCATAACAGTGGAATTGGTCCCGTTCCGCTGTTCGGGCAAGCATTTGACGATAGTCTTTTCACCGTCTGCTCTGGCTAAGTCAACGGCGATTAGCTTCTTTAACAATTTCATTTCTAGCTCCATCTCTTGTTCCATCTCCTGCTTCTTAAATTCGAACTTTTTTCTTAAATATTCTTTTTCTTAATGCGACCAAGCGTTTTTGGACTTCGTATTCAGCTTGCCTTACACGGGATGCTTTCGACCTCATCATATTTCTAGAGGTCTGTGATGCTAAACCCACAGGTAACAACGTAGAATCAACGGCTTCATTCCTCCGTATTGATTCAACTGACTCCCTGTCGTGTGTAATATCGGCTAGTCTTCGTTGTAGTACTTTCGATGGTGATTCTAACGGCATGCATTCTGTCCGTACATCTTCATCGATTTCTTCTGCCCTCTTAGCTTGTCGGCTTCTTGTGTTCATTTTGAAGTCGATTGTATACTTCGCTTCGATGAACTGATGGACAATGCTTTCCTTCGGCGGCCCACAGCAGCAACGTGTCGATGCGGTGACTCACTTTGTACAGGCAATGAAGTCAACCATCTGCACGTACTCCTAGGATCGCAGGTAGTACTGCCGATGAAAATCTTCCTGGGATCGCAGGTAAAATCTTCCTTCTTCTCGGCGTCGATGCGTAGAGTATTCTTCTTCTGGTTATCCGGCTCGAAGGACCAAACTATAAGCGTCACTGTCGATCTGAACCACCGCTGCTATTCTCGAAATGAAATTTCAAAGTGGAGTTATAAATGTTCCGTTTATTGGTCGACCGTTAGTAATGGTGACTCAAAATAATATAGCGAAGCAAGCTTATAACTAACGTCCGTCCGGCACGGCTGCTTAAATCTATCTGAAGCTATACAAATAATAACTTAAAACTAAACCTAAACTACCACGCTGGTACAAGGGACCGACCGACCCTTCCGCTACCTGCGCACCCGCCGACCGTTTCCCAGAACAACATCTGGCTGGCAGTTTCGTTCGTCAGCTTTCTAAACTGCATTGTTC